GAACAAGGCCCCAGTGCCTGAAGCTGCAGAAGAAGAAGAGAATGTTCTTAGAAAGCTCAAGCCCAAGATCCCAGACCACAACGATGCTCATCCTGTGGCTGAGGATATGAAACTCAGGAGAGATTCAGGGCTCCGGAAGTGGAGAGAAGCAGACCCGTATGATTCAAGGAGAAGGACTGCAGTTGACTACAGGTTTCACACCAAGGAGCAGCAAGACTTTTATGAGACAATGCTGCTAGACAAGAAGCCAATTGTCTGTGATATGAGATGGGTTGATTGGCAATACATCAAGGACAATGAAGAGTACTACCCTGGAGTGCAGAACAGCTTCAAGGCATGTGGAGTAGAGGACTTTGTTGGGCAGAAGCTCACAAAGTGGAACGAGGAACTCATCATGCAGTTCTACTCCACAGCCCATTTCTATCCAGTTGGCAGGATTGTATGGATGTCAGAGGGTACGAGGTACCAGTCTACAGTTGCTGAATGGGCTCAGTTGATTAATGCCCCAGAAGAGCATGACGATGACTTGGACATTTATGCCAAGAAGAAGATGGACCACAACTCAATGTCAAACATGTACAAGGAGATTCCAAATGAAGCACTTGATACGTTCAAGTTTGGCTCAGTACACTATCTTCTGTCAGGGCTGCCAACCATCAACTAGATTCTTAGGCACACCCTATTGCCCAAGTCTGGAGATCACAAGATGATCAGGGGCCACGCGATCAACTTGCTTCATATCTTTGACGTGCCACAAAAATTCAAAGTCATGAGCCTTATGATTGAAACAATCAAGAGGACAGCAGCAGACCAGAAGAGGAGCTGTGGATATGCCCCACAGATTCAGGAGCTCATCAACTCTAAGATGGGCACGGGCATATACTTATTGGACAAGGAACACCTGCCCATCCGTCCAGACTTTGAAGATAATCAAGTGGTCATGACTGAGAATGAGCCATCATCTGCCCAAGCACAAGCCAAGAAGGAGAAGGCGAGGAAGGAGAAAGATGCCAAGATGCCTACTCAAGAGGAGGCATCTGAATATTTCCTGAAAACCAAACAAGAGCAGCTTGGTTACTTGATTGCATCCACCCTGCGGATTGAGCAAGGACTAGCCACCCTAACTCAAAACCAGACAAGCTTAGAGAGGATCATGGAATAAAAGTTCTATGACTTGGATGTCAAAGTGACAGAGATTCAAACTGCAGTGGAGCAGCTCCAGGATGACATGCAGGAGAGGAGAGGCAAGACTACAACTGATGCCTTTGCCAGAGTGCCACGAGGTCTGAGGTCGTCTGCAGTGCCAGTTGCTGACCCCAGAGCCACCACGTCTGCACCAGCTATAGCCTCAGTTCCACCAACTTCAGCGTCCACTTCAGCCTCGACTCCGACCACGTCTACAGAAGGCTTCGTCCTTGGAGTGCTCCGGACTCCACCACCACCTGAAGATCAAGCCTGAGTGTCGACTTAGCACTATGCATTTTCTAGGAACTTTTTGGTAACTTGTTGCCAAAGGGGGAGAAAATGTATAGATCATAGGCTTCGAGAGAGAGTGTTGCTTTTAGTGTTGCTTTTATTCTCTCTTGTTTTATTTGGTGGTTTTTCAAACTTTGTTTGCTTTTGTGTGAGATACTATGTCATTGCTCGTGAGACATTGATGATCATGTGTTTGATCATAAGCTACACTTAATGTTTGCTTAATATTATCATCTTATCTATCTTATGTGATCATTCACTATTCTTGGTGATGAATGCATGTATTTCATTCTTATCATTTTAAGCGCTCCACCAAGATGTATGTGACATGGAAGAGTAACCCATGACTCTAACTGTTTGTGCATTTGCAGTCCAAAGCAAATTTTAAATATGCACAAATTTAGGGGGAGCTCTTACTTGTCACATACTTCTCAAAGCGACGATATATTTCATGCTTATTATCATTTGTCGAAGCTTTGATCTATATGTTGTCATCAATTATCAAAAAGGGGGAGATTGAAAGTGCAACTATCCCTAGGTGGTTTTGGTAATTCATAACAACATATAGCTCATTGAGCTAATGCTATTCCAAGATGACTATTTCAGGAAAGCTCAATGATTGGCATGGCATGGATGTGAAAGTGGAATCCTCAAAATGCTAAGGACAAAGGATTGGCTCAAGCTCAAAAGCTCAAGACTCTTATTTTTATATTTTAGTGATCCAAGATCACATTGAGTCTTTAGGAAAAGCCAATACTATCAAGGAGGGATGAGGTGTTGCTTAATGAGCCTCTTGCTTCATGTGCTTAGTGATATGCTCCAAAACCCTCAACTACTTTCCCATATCCACATATGAACTAAACCCTAAGCCAAACTCGGTCCTACCGATTCTTTCTATCCGGCGCCACCGAGTTTCACTTGTCATAAGCCACTGCCAAACCCTAGCAATTCGGTTCTACCGATAGGGATCTCGGTCTCACCGAGATGGGATTGCAAACTCTCTGTTTTCCTTTCGTAACTTTTCAGTCTCATCGAAAGAGCGAATCGATCCCACCGAGATTGCAGTGTAAACTCTTTATTTCCTTTTTGTAACTTTTCGGTCTCACCGAAAGAGCAAATCGGTCCCACCGAGTTTACCTGACCAACTCTCTGGTTAGCTTATTACCAAACTCGGTCTCACTGAGTTTGTGTAATCGGTCTCACCGAGATTACGTTATGCCCAAACCCTAACCATATCGGTCCTACCGAGTTGCATGTCAGTCCCACCGAAAATCTCTAATGGTCACTAGGTTTACCTTTTCGGTCCAACCGAGTTTGTTGATTCGGTCCCACCGAGATTGAAAAACTGTGTGTAATGGTTGGATTTTGTGTGGAGGCTATATATACCCTCCACCTCCTCTTCATTCGTGGAGAGAGCCATCAGAACACATACACAATTCCAACTCATATGTTCTGAGAGAGAACCACCTACTCATATGTTGATACCAAGATATTCCATTCCTACCATATGAATCTTGATCTCTAGCCTTCCCCAAGTTGCTTTCCACTTAAATCTTCTTTCCACAAAATCCAAATCCTATGAGAGAGAGTTGAGTGTTGGAGAGACTATCATTTGAAGCACAAGAGCAAGGAGTTCATCATCAACACACCATTTGTTACTTCTTAGAGAGTGGTGTCCCCTAGATTGGCTAGGTGTCACTTGGGAGCCTCCGACAAGATTGTGGAGTTGAACCAAGGAGTTTGTAAGGGCAAGGAGATCGCCTACTTCGTGAAGATCTACCGCTAGTGAGGCAAGTCCTTCGTGGGCGATGGCCATGGCGGGATAGACAAGGTTGCTTCTTCGTGGACCCTTCGTGGGTGGTTGCTTCTTCGTGGACCCTTCATGGGTGGAGCCCTCCGTGGACTCGCGCAACCATTACCCTTCGTGGGTGGAGCCCTCCGTGGACTCGCGCAACCGTTACCCTTCGTGGGTTGAAGTCTCCATCAACGTTGATGTAGGATAGCACCACCTATCCGAACCACGGGAAAAACATTTGTGTCTCCAATTGCGTTTGAATTCTCCAAACCCTTCCCTTTACATTCTTGCAAATTGCATGCTTTACTTTCCGCTGCCAATATACTCTTTGCATGCTTGCTTGAATTGTGTGATGATTGCTTGACTTGTCCTACAATAGCTAAAATCTGCCAAGAACTAAAATTGGGAAAATGTTAAGTTTTTATTTGGTCAAGTAGTCTAATCACCCCCCCCCTCTAGACATACTTTCGATCCTACAGAGGGCTTTCAAATAAGATCCATTCTGAAGAGTTTAAAAAAATATGTTAAGATTTATCCTTTGAAACTTAGTATGAGCGACCGGCAAAATCACAACTTAAAAATGGCTTAAAGTTTCAACTCTGAAACTTGATACGAGCGACCGAGAAAATCATAAGTTTCAGATACGAAATCGTAAGTTTCAAAGATTAAAACTTACTATGCCCTCATGCGGGATCCAACTACTTTACGCATCGCGAGAAAATCATATGGCCGGGAAGGGCTGAACAAGTGCGTGCTCGCGCACCCCTGCATGCCCCTGCAAATTTTTATCTAGTTACGAATCCAAGTAAAGGGGAAAAAATGGAATTCACTCTTTTTAATATTAATATATTGTCCTATATCAGGAAAACAAAATGCATATGGGTCGGTGTCTAAAGGAGCGTCTAGTGGTATGTAATCAACTGAAGATGCACATGGAAGCAAGTATGGCAATATAGTCAGCTCGTTGGGGGTCGAGACTTCCACGACTTGGGAGAAGCTAGGACCCATTATTTGTCTATTCAAGACCACCGCGCTCCTAGCTCATTCAGATCTATCGCCGAGAAAGGGTGTTAATCCTTTGTTCGGAGCATGCATTCATTCTAGTGCGCCGGTCGATTTAGCATACAATCCAAATACCTAGCTGGTTCCTTGTTCTTTTTTTGTGGGAAGGGGAAAGCGAGGTCAGAAACCAAAGCATCATGGTTGGAGGAGCTATGGTGAGCGCCTCGACGGGAGTTATGAACTCCCTCATGGTGAAGCTGGCTAACTTGAAGGAGGAGAAGAAGGTGCGGAAGGAAACCAACAGTCTCAAGGGCGAGCTGAGCACCATGGAAGCTCTCCTGTTCAAGGTTGCCACGCGGGATGATCCAGATGTGCAAGCCAAGGAGTGGACAAGGCAGGTCCGCGAGGTGGGCTACGACACAGAAGACTGCATCGACATCTACGTGCAGCAGCGTTCGGCGCCAGCACCAGATAGCAAGCCCCCCAAGCTGTTCCGGAGGTTGCTGGACAGGAGATCGTCCGCAAAGACGCCAGAGTTCGCGGAGGAAATCACAGAGCTCACGACCGTTTCAAAGACGCCAACGAGAGGCACAAGAGGTACAAGCTGGAGAATCTGGGGACCAACGACACCCTTGAAGCCGATGAACATGGACCCAACAGCGCCATCATCCCTACCCAGCTGATCTACGAGGAGGAGCCTCGCCTTGTGGCTATCGATGGGCGGACAATGGAAGTTGTTGACCATCTCATGGGAGACAAAGAGCAACAGCTGAGGGTGGTATCGATCCATGGATTTGGAGGCCTTGGCAAGACCACACTTGCTAATGAGGTGTATCATGAGCTTCGGGGGAGATTTGAGTGCCATGCTTTCGTGTATGCTGGCCGTAACCAGCACATACGGACCACTCTGTTGGAAATGTTGTCTCAAGTCAGCGACGGGCAACCTGCAGGCTTGGAATCAATGGAGGAGCAGCAAGTCATCAAACAACTAAGAGAATCCCTCGAAAAAAAGAGGTGCGCATCCACCAACTATATATGTTGTTTTCCTGCTTTATCGCATCCCTAGCTAGTTTACATTTTTCTGTCATATTAGTTCTTCCGTGCAGTGTGCTCTGCTATCTATTTCGACGTACTAGTACGATGGATGCATTTAGGTTGACCAGCTATAGCTAGTCACTCGCCATCCCAACTAGGCGTTAGGTTAAATTTGCCTTCTTTATTTACAAATATGGGCGGCATGTCCGAAACCATGAGAAATTCGAAGGTCGAACTTCCTTGCATTTGCAAGATGCAGAAACAAAGGTCTTCCATACTAGATTAGTACACAAAAAATACCTTTTGTGATATACTAGGTAAATGCCCGTGCGTTGCAACGGGGAGCACACATACTCTAGTTGTTCAACACCAATCATGTTTAACATATAGCAGCTTCAGAGTTCTCATGATTATCAAGTGTTTTTACTTCTGAATCCAAACTGATGGCCACTGATGCACAATATGCAAAGCCTAACATGGCAAGAGTGAACTACACCATCCATGATTATCTTCGACAAATTCCTGAAATACACAATAAGGTCGCTTACACAAAACAACAACCAATGCCCACATTATCTAAATATGCCCATTTTTTTTGCCTGAGCTTTTATGTGTAGGGGTGTGCAAGTAGGGAAGGGGATTTCTGAACAGTTCATGGTGGGGAACAGTTGGCCTGATTTTGAGTGTAGACAACCAACTTGCGCTAGCCGCTTGATCAAATGTTTGAGAGTGATACAAATTGATGCCTGGCTAAAGCTCATATTCCTAGTTTTCCCTGTCAACATGTAGCTGACCAATTCCTCAACAAAAAAGGTATAGCTAACCTTCTTTGTTGGATTATGCATACAGCTTGTTCTTAGATGTCATCATTTGTAAGGGCACTCATCCTTTGATGCCTAATTAAAGGGTTTAGAAGTACTAAATCAAGTAATGGTGATGTATTTTGTTCTTTATCCGTCCGAATAGTAATTGTCTTTGACCTCATATATGATTTGATCTTTTTTGCTAATTAGTGATCACAATAAATGTTAATAGTAATCAAAGAAAATAAATGAAACTAACATTAAATCATGCAGTGCACCTAGTTGATCTGTACGGATTTGGCAAGAACAGTGGGTAGAATTCTCTTATTTTCTGATGTCATTTTTAGCAACCTGTAGGTTAAGAAAGAAATTCATCGATACATCATGACAAATGAAAGTTGTACAAATATTTGCTATTATCTCACACATTGTAGGGAGATAGTAAACCAATTAATTGATACATCACAGATTCATGGCCAAAATAATAATGGACAAAACAACTTACCTTAAAAGGAATCATCAAGGGTGGAGCGCCTAAATCCATTAGGGCATCTCCAGCCGCGCCCACAGGAAGGCCTCCCCAGACGATTTTTTCGCGCCGGCACCAAAAAATCGGCCCAGTCGCGCCCCCAGGAGCCCGATTTTCGCCGGCCTGGGCCGAAAACAGCGTCGGCGGACCCAGGCCGAACCCGGCGGGCTGGGGGGCGCCCGGGGGCGCCGGGGCGAACTGTTTTGGCGCGAAACAGCCGCGGGCCCACCGCGTCAGCGACACGGCGCCTCGTCTTCCCCCAACGGCCTCGGTTCCCGCGGGGAATCAATGGCAAGGCTGCTGCCGGTCAGCCTTGCCATTGATTCCTCACGGGCAGCGCGTCACGGGACGACGCACCGACGCCTCCCCTCCCTCGCACGCGTACACACGGGTGCGGCGCGGCTATATAGCCGGTGGCCTGCACTCGCCTGTGCCCACACCAGCCCCGCCCCTCGCCGCCGCCCAGCTCCTCCCTCTCCCTACCTCTCCCGAGCGCCGCCGCCCAGCCCCTCCCTCTATCTCTCTACCACTCCCGAGCCCGTCGCCATGGCGGAACGCTACCCCGGAGACGAGGCGGCGGCCAACGGCTTCGGCCGCCGTTCGCTCCGCGAACAGGAGTCCTGCCTCCTGTTCCAGGCGAACATCCCGGCACCGCCGGACATGCGCGCCGGGCCGACGGGGTGGAGGCTCAGCGCCGGGGGAGTGCCCATTCCCCCGTTGCCCGACGTCGTGGCGAAGCCGAAGTACTTCGCCGAGGAAGTCGAGGTCGTGCGCGCCTTCCTCACCGACGCCCAACTCTCTCTCCCCCAGTACGCCGCCGACAACCACGCGGCTTGGACGGCGTATTTCGAGCGCCGCCAGCAGCAGCGCTTGGCGTCCACCAACGGCGCGCCGGTGGTCGGCGGCCGGCAGAACAGCGAGGGGCACCACCTGTGGTGGGGCGTCCCCGGCCGCACACTCGAGGGCGTGCTGACGTACCTCGAGGGCGGCAACGACCCGCCGTTGGCGTACCCGGCGAGGGCGGCCACCCCGGCGCAGCACCGACGCGCCGGGCCATGGGCGCCAAGGAGGTTCGGGTCCTCCTCCTCTTTTTCCTCCTCCCGATCTTCATCGCACTCCTCCGGCACTCTGGCCCTGCTCGGCGTCAAGGCCGAGCCCGCGGCGGAGACGCCGCTCGGCCGGCGCACTCGCAGCGCCGGCATCGTCATCAACGAGGGCGGCCAGCGCGCCTACTCGTCGGCTCCTCCTCCGCGCTTCGTCAAGCCAAAGACGGAGCCGGGGCTCACGCCGGTGAAGACGGAGCCGGGGCTCGCGCCGGTGAAGAAGGAGCCGGCCGCGCCGGTGACGACGGAGCTCGACGACGACGACGCGGCCCTGGAATGGGCGCGCAGGGACTCCATAGCGATGGAGAAGGAGCGCCTGGAGAAGGCGAAGGAGCGCCAGTGCGCCCTGCTTCGCTTCGCGGAGCGTCGACGCGGCCGCGACGAAGGCGGAGTCATCGTCATCTGCGACAGCGACGACGACGACGACAATGCGCCGCCACCAGTCCGCCATGGCGACGCCGGGCAGGGGTCCAGCAGGGGCGCCCGCGTCAAGGAGGAGAAGGCCGACGACGACGATGGCGGCGACGGCGGCGACTTCAGCCAGTTTTTCCTTTAGATTAGTTTATGTATATGTGCTATGTAATGAAAATCCGCAAACTTCGCCGAAATGTGCCAAAATTTATCGTGTTTGGCCGAAATTTATCGTGTTTGGCCGAATTTTATCGTGTTTAAGCCGAACTTCGCCGAACTTCTTTTATTTTAAAAAGTGCCTAGCGGCGGCCCTGGGGCCGGCGGCTAGGGACCAACTCGCCCCCAGGCTCAATTTTTGCGCAGGCTCATCCTCAGGCGACGATTTTAGGCGCCCCCTGGGGGGCCAACGGCTGGAGATGCCCTTAACACCTGGGCGTGAAAATAACTTCCTTCTCATCCGGCAAGATCTGGAAGATTACACCAGCACAACATCATCAGGAAGCTCCTATGACATGCTTCAGAGCATAGTATTCTTCTAGCATGTCCCGGTACATGGTGTGGACCTTGCACCAGTACCTGGTGGTGCTGGCCATGCTAGTTGTCAGCACCACGCCGCCCAGCTCAACCTGCGCCCAGAGGCGTGTTCATCTTCATCATGGGCGATGCACACCACCGCGTCAGTCTGATGCAACTTCTTCTACTGCAACAGCTCGACCTTCGGGGCGTCACTGGTCAGCTCTCACCATGCTCGAGTCCGCCCCGACTTGCCGGGCTGCCCGGGCCGTGATTTATGCTCTCTTGGTGCCAATTCTATCGGTCAATGGAGGAAGATCGCGGCGAACAGGCGGACCTGCGGATGGGCTCTGAGAATATCGGATGGCGCGGCGACGGACGTTGAGGGCTAGATCGGACAACATGGCGGATGGGATGCAAGGATCATGACGGGGTTAACATTTGAGAAAGCATAGGCTTTCCTATACCCTTTATCTAGCCATTCATTTTTACATCGCGATTCGTGCGAGCAACTTTTGTCTTTTTTATTTCTCCTAAAAATAGAACAACATATGAACATGAAACTTTGTAGGACAACAAAACATTCTAATTAGAATGTGGGGTTGAAGTCCATATGTTGTCTTGTTTTGAAGGAACAAAAAAAAGAAAAATTTGTGTTGTAAGTTAGTTGTGTCGCACGGATCTCAAAGCAGTATTGAAGGGTATAGATAAGAGGTGTCCAGAAACCCGTGCTTTATAAATCCGCGTTCGACCTGACGGAGGGCCAGGTCCCGCTCAACAGCCGCCAGGTAACAATAGAGCACATGAGCGATTTTGCACGCGGCCATCCAAGGCTTTTCACGTCGGATCACATGGTCGTGCGTGGGTTATAGGCAATTGGAAGCCCAATGGAAGGCGGCGGATGTCGACTGATCGGATGTGTGTATATATATATACACCAGTACCGAAGAGAGAAATTTTCTCTTTTGAGGGAAAAGAGAGAGATTTTTGGAGGTATAGATGGAAGGGATCGAGAGATATTTTAGGAGTTATAGATGGAAGGGATCGAGAGATATTAGCGTAGGTAGGGATCCCACGAGAATTGTGTGTGTGCGTCTTGTCGTGATCTACCTTTGATTTGTAGGAAATTATGATGTGGCAGGGACCAGGGAGACCTTCCTGTTTGAAGATTGGTGGGGGTGAAAAATCGGACGAGGAGAGGGAGGCAGCGTACGTCGGGGATGGGACGAAGTCACGAAGAGGTTGGAGGAAACGTGAGAGGAAAAACGAAACACTACGTTTTTTTAGGTAGTAGAGAAGATAAGTGACGGGTCTGTTTAGGACACATCTAGATGTGACATACCTGATGTCCATTATGTTTGTGGTCTATTTTTTTTTTGTCCTAGCTTTTTTTTTTGTTCCTTGTTGTTGCGTTATTTGTGGGAGTTTAGATATGACATCTTTAGAAAACATCTAGAGGTGAATTAGACAAACCGATAACTCATACTCCCTCCGTGCTAAAAACAGAAAGTCAAACGGTGTAAAATTTGACAAGGTTTATAGAAAAAATCATCAACAACTATAATACTAGGAGCCTGTTTGGAATTGCTCCATCCTTCCAAAATCAGCTAAGCTTGACCCCATTCACTTTGGAACGGATTCACCCAAGAGTTGCAGCTCCACCATAGAGCACTGGATCATGATTGACTTCCAGCTAGCTCCAACTTCAAAGAATGGGAAGTTTTTATGGGAAAAGTCTATTATGAGGCTGCGTGATGCGAGAAAAAAAATAAAGAAGTATCCACTTACCGGTGGCAATGGTGGAAAAAAATGAAGGTTGTGGTCCTCTGCTCGGCCTTGTTGTGCCACATCCGTCCTTGATCATTTAGCTCTGGCGATTCTGATGTTTGTCGGATTGATTTACGGCCAAGTCTAGCCGACGTGAGCGTCTCGGGCACTCCTTGCACTCGTGGGTGTTAAAGTCACAGTGGTTGTGTGTTACGGTATTGGTGACGGGGTCGCCTACTGGGTGATGTTGGGATTAAGTGGTCAATGGATGTCGGGGGTAACGGTCTTGGGGCTTGGTTTTTTTTTTTTGCGGGTGGTCTTGGGGCTTGTTGATGGATACAGTCGTCCGCTTGCTATACTATTAGCCATCCTCTAAGAGATGATAGTTCTGAGTGTTTTTGTTAGGGGTAACTAAACTTCTCAGAACTTTATCATAGGTAACTGAACCACATGATCACAAATGTCCCAGCAATTGAGCCAATATCAGAAATTTAGGAAAAATAACCGTTATGCTCGAATCGAACTGTTTCCTACGATATCTCTAATAAAATTCATATTAGAAGTTTATTTATTCATGTTTACTATATCACATTTGATCAAAACATTTTTTAGAAAGAAGGAGCACCGTAGCACTCGATGCGCGTAGCCATTTATTAACTTACTCAGTAATATGGTTATTAAATCTGAAATTCAACAAAGTAAGAGGCAACAGAGTAAAACACAAAAAAATCATCATCTGTCGCATTGCTTACACAATATCCAAACAACTCTTTTGATTATTTGTTTGGGGCACCTAGGTGACTGGGCATCTTGATTGGGAGTTGTATGTTTTATCCTGTGATGGCATTGCTTATGTTTTATCCTGTGCGCAACTAGATTGAGGTTCTCTTTAAGATGTTTTTTAGAAGAAAAAAAAGAGTGCTAAGAACTTTATTATGAAAGATTCTGTAATTTCTTTGCTTTCAAATGTTCTGCCGAGCTATTGATGCTGATTGGCATGTCAAATGGTCTTTGTGGTGCCTCTTTAGTCAGTTTCACTTCATGCAAGAAAGAGATGGCTGTTGGTTTGAGGTTAAAATTCTCATCATCAAATGTTTTCCACTGATGTAAGATGGCAATCATTTTGAAAATGCAATCAGAAGGTTTGCGCATTTTGAGTTCACATGGTCTATGTATTCAGTTCCACTTCTGTAAGAGGACTTATGTGTGCGTGATTCACTTATCACATTTTGAGTTCACATGGTCTATGCATTCAGTTGTCATCTATTGGATTAGTCCTTGTATACCTTTTTGTTTGCAACCCATCTTACTGATATCCGCTAAATATACATATTAGGTACTTGATTGTCATTGATGATATATGTATGCCATCGGTCTGGAAAGTTATCAAGTGCGCTTTGCGTGATGGTATGCATGGAAGCAAGATAATTACAACAACCCGCATTCACGACGTGGCCAAATTATGTTGCAACCGTCCAACTGATACTATCTATCCGATGGGTCAACTTGGTGAGGTTGACTCCAAAAAACTGCTATCGAGCAGGATATTTGATTTGGAAAGAAAACCACCATCTGATTCGGACGGTTTTCTGAACGACATGTCCAAAATATGCGATGGCGTACCACTAGCCATTGCTGTCATGGCTGGATTATTATCCAGGAAGTTTTTGGAATTGGCAGATTGGAAGAAGGTTGAGGAGTATGTTATGTCAGGGCTGAAGCAGTACTCCATGCTGCAAGGGATAAGAAAGATACTATACCTTAGTTATTCGGACCTTGCATTGCCACTGAAGACTTGCTTGCTGTATCTGAGTATCTTTCCCAAGTATTATGAGATCAAGAAGGGACGCCTGATATGGAGATGGTGTGCCGAAGGATTCATCCCAGCAGGCGAAGCAAGTGCTTGGAAAAGGGGAGAAAGCTACTTCAACGCCCTCATCAACACGAGGCTAATTCAACCGGTGTTTGGCCACAACGACGACCAGCCTGTGGGATGCACTGTCCACGGCGTGATCCTTGAATTCATCGCGTCCCTGTCGAGCAAAGAGAACTTCGTCACGACGGACGCTGAATTGGTTCTCGCTGCACCGCGAGACGCGATCCGCCGACTCTCCCTCAGCAGCAATCAGGACGATGACATCCTCAAGTCAGAAGCAGACAGTATGAACCTGTATCAAGTCCGGTCCCTTACCCTCTTCAGGATCGCCAAGTGGATGGAACCTCACCTCATAGATTTCCAGTTGCTACGGGTGCTGGATCTGGAAGACGTGGAAGGCCTGAAAGATGAACATCTTGCTGCTGGGTTAGGCAGGCTGTTCCTTCTCAAGTATCTGGGTCTTGGCGGAGAAGGTGTCACTGTGCTCCCAAAAGATGTTGATGAACTCCAACACATGGAAACCTTGGACGTTAGACGGACCAGTGTGAAGAACCTTTCTGCAGCAAACAAGCTACCAAAGCTAGCCAGCCTGCTCGCCACGGACGCCAATGTGTTGCCAGCAGAAGTTGATAAGATGCACGAGCTGCAGGAATTCTCCATGGTCAGCATCGGGGACCAAAACTCACTGGAATGCTTGGCTAAGCTTGCCAAGCTGAAGAGGCTCAGGACTCTCGGGGTGAAGTGGTGTTTCGCGGATGATAATGGCAGCACAGAAGCTCAGAGGAAGAGCTTCGTGACCTCCCTGGGCGAGCTTGGCCTGTCGAGCTCATCTGGAATCCCCACCTTTGAGTCCTTGTTCCTCGATGCTGCTGGCGGTACAAGTTCCCTGGATTTTCTGGTGAAGTCTTGGGTGCCTCCGCGTGCTCTTCAGAAGTTCATGATGACGAGCCCAAACTGCTACTTGAGTGGAGTTCCAGCAAACATGGCACTGGACACCAGCTCGAGCATCACCCACCTAGAGATCGCCATTGCTCAACTCGGAGACGAGGGTCTCAAGGTCCTGGGCGAGCTGCCGCTTCTGGTGTTCCTCAAGCTTCGCTGCCTACTGACCACAGAGAACTCGCTGACCATCACGGCCGACAAGTTCCGCAGCCTTCAGGTGTTCAGCTTTGAGTGCCAGGACGGCGGCCTGGGATTTGGCTTCGGAGAAGGTGCGATGGCACAGCTTCGAAAGCTTCGGCTCTACTTCAAGGCTGGGGAGGAGAGCAGGCTTCAGGGAGTCGGCCATCTCTCAGTTTCTTATCTTTGCCAAGTCCACACCACCGTCTACTGTGCAGGCGCTGGAGATTCTTCCTTCAAGGATGCAGAGAAAACCATCACAGAACTGCTATCCAACCACCCCAAGGAACCCACCTTGGAAATCACCAAGCATTAGAAATCACAGAACTGAAGGATGACTAGAAGCTGGAAAAAGGTATGTTAATCCAAGTAGTATTAGCGCTAGCGAACGATCTCCTACATGACTTCTGTTCACTTTTTGTTGTTTCCTAACACACTCATTTGCTTTGGCAATCCAAAAATGTCGATACCGTGATGAACAGAAGACTACTTGGCAACTATTTCCCGAGACAAGGAGGAGCGTGGACTGAAGGAGAAGACGTCGCTTATGCCAACTTACCCATGCAGTCTCTCAGCTTTTTCTCTCTAATCAGATAAAATCATCTATGCCTTCATAAAACAGGCACAAGTTTGGGGTTGCCTTTTTAGGCTTTACCAAATTGGTTTCGTGTTCGTGATCCAACTTTCAAGATTAAATATTGTATCATTCAGAATACACAACTTTCCCTTTGTTTCATGCTTCTTTATTCCTCGGCAAAGTCCTGGCGTATGATCATATTCAGGGCAGGGGCTCGGATTCGCTGCCTTTGTGTGGCTAAGTTCCAGCTACATTAGCCTGACTTAGCCAGTGTAAAGCGTCCGATAGAATAAGAGTGGCCCAGATCGATCCACTGTGGACGAGCACTGTTCACCGACGCAGCAGTTCATTGTTTGCTTCTGTAGATGGCGTACTGTAGCGGTGCACGGTATCATCGATCTGAGCGTTGAATGGGAATCTGATGGCTCCTGTGTGGGCTAAGGTAGCGGTGATGTAGCGTGGCTCACTTGGTCACGGCAAATCAGCGAATCCGGAGCGTCAGGAAAGGCACTGCCAACACTATGTTGCTACGGAACTAAGAATAATGGAGGATGTTATTTTTAGAAGCTCCCTCCTTCAATCATTTTTAAGGGAAAGCTGCGTAATCACTACTTAAGAGGTACCCTATGTAAATATCACTTCCATCTCCTCTCATGGTAACAAAGTTACGCACTACATATGCGATAGACACTTGTCACAACTTGTGAGTTTTTTAGATTCATTATATCAAAACGTTTTATCCCTTAAACCGTGTGTCCAAATAAAGAACCGTTTCACCGTTGCTTTTCGCGCGTTAAGATTTTTGAAACTAAATCACAGTGAATAGATTTGGATGAACATTTTTCCAAAAAAACGGAAACCGGGAAGAAATACAGAAACTAAAAGCACAACTGTGTTGCACACGGGCAGATTCCATGTCGCGGTGACCTCCCAGGGCATAAGAGGGATTAAATTCCAGTCGACATGCGGGCAGATTCCATGTCACAGAGACCTCCCAGGGCATAAGAGCGATCAATTCCAGGAAGACGGGAGTACCTCCGGCAGCAGCCCTACTATAGCGACACACTATTGCCACAGAGCAAGGCGCGGAGAGCAGGCCGAGACAGGCGGCGATGTGACGTCTGTGAGCTGCAGGCTGGCGGGAGAGCTTCAGAAGTGTAGAGAATGATTTGGTGCATCGATACCTCATTGATCGTGCACTACAC